ATCTTGAATAGTTTTCTTTAAATATGTGAGCATATTTATGACTTTTATTTTGAAATATTTATTGAGAAAATTGATGATTTCAGTTTCACTAAGCCCTCTTTCTGTTTTTTCTTGAATTTTTGTTTGGACCAAATTCCTCTTTCTCTTCAATTTTTTAGTGTTTTTACTGGATAACAGGTTTGTACACAAGGTATCCTCTAATGCCCAGAAACTCAGTTTCCTGTGTGAGAGCCCCAGCTGTTGGCGTGCAGTGGTTGTGGTGCCTGTCTGCCTTACTAGTAGTGTTCTGAATTCATATGGGCTGTGTGGGCTGTTAGCTGATCACAGGAGCTGGGATAATACTGTCTGGAGTTTCCCTGGGTGGGGCCACCCTCTGTCTAGCCTGCTATGTTGGCAGATGCTTCTGGTGAGTGGGACCATCACCTGCTGGTAGGAAAGATCTCCTGGTGCTGTGCTGCATTTAGGCATGCAGGTCTGTGAGACCACAGTTGTCATGTTTGGAGCTGCCCTCTACCTGGTCTGCTGTGATGGTGCAGGCTGCTGTTGTACGGGACCAATGCCTCCTGGGAGGAAAGAGCTCCTAGGTCTGGTTCTTGCATGTAGCTCCCCAGCTGGCCCAAAATAGAGATGAGCAGGCTGGATGTTCTACCCCTGCCTAACCAGGAGTAAAATCTGATTTTACTTTCTGCTGTGAGGCCATGTGCCACTGTGAGGAGTCTCCAGGCTGTGTTGCCAATGAGGGGATCGAGTGTCTGAAGCTCGAGAGGGCTCCCAGCCTGTTTGGCTGAGGGCAGGCTGGGGATGCATTGTCTACTTGACCTTTCTCCTAAACAGAGAGCACTGTGCAATCCTTGCCCCTCTGGCACTCTTTCACTATTGGGAAGTCTTTCAAACTGCCCTGTGCTTTCTTTCTCAAGGGGGCCGGTAGAGCATGCCTGTTCTCCACAGGCAGTTGGCTCTTAGCCTCACTGAATGTTCTGCCTATCTCTGTGTCCAGCCCCACAAATCACCAGGGCACCATGAAATGGATTCATGTTCCCATTGCAGCTCTCCAGGGCCAGGTGTTCAAAGGTACTGGGCTTCTACTCCCTCCCCAGTCCATTCCTCTTCCTCTCACCTGTGGTCCAGGGTGGGGGTGGGCTTGGGGTCCACAAGATTGTGGCTTTGCCATTTTACCCTTTTATGTAGGATCTTCTCTTATTCAGATATAGGTGGTTAATTCTAAAGTCTTCAGGTTGATTTCAGGTATAGTTGTATTTGCTGTAATTTCATGTTCTATCTGATTTTGGGAGGAAGTTTTGCCTCACCTTCGTACACTGCCATCTTTTTTCCCATCTCCACGTTTTTGTTTGTTTTAGTTTTTTGGATATGTTTTTCTTTAATTATTTGTGTTTATTTAAATAGTCTATTTAAAGTTCTGCATATCAAGTCCAATAACTCAACTTCTTTATTTCATTTTTTTCATATATATGTCATACTTTATTTTTTCTTTGCATGCCTTCTAATTTTTTTGTTGAAAACTAAACATTTTGATATTATAATATGGCATCTGTTGCACTTATAATTTTCTTCCTCTCAAGAGTTTATTGTTGCATGCTGTAAATTTGTTATTTAGTGACTTTTCTGAACTATTTTTACAAATTCTGTATATTTTTCATGTGTGGCCACTAAAGTTTATGTTCCACTGATTTGGAAGTCAGCTAGTGATTCAGTGGTGACTTTCTGAAATCTCTGAAGCTAAAAAAAAAAATCAAAATACTGTCAAGTATTTGAAGTTTTACCCCCTATGTGTTGGGGTACACATTCAGTACTCAACTTGGCAGTTTACAACCTATCCTTAGCTTTCACTTCCTGCTTGTTAGACTTATGAATGACAGCCATAAGTGAGAACTTAGAGTTTTGCAGTTTTTTTCTGAGTAGGAACCTGGTTATGGGCATGCATGTGGCCTTTTATATTCCCAGGAATACCTGCAGGCTTTTTAAAATCTTTATCCACACAGTGTTTCTTTCCCAACCTCTCCTCTAAAGCATTATGTGTTGTTTGCCTCTGTTGTTATCCTTTGATCCAGGAAGCAGCAGCTAGTACATTTGCCCTTAAATATTTTATTTAATGACTCCAGGTAACTTCCTAAGCCCTGGTAGAATTCTGAGTTACAGAAAATAAAGGCAAGCCCTTTGAACTGGACATTCAAGGAGCCATAAGACCTGTCAAATTAGCAAACAAAATTTTTTGAGAATAAGATATTTTCTGACTCCTCCAGTTCTAGGAACATATACTAGGAATATAGGTTATTCTCTTCAATGTCACCCCCAAGGGGGATCACAAGGGATAAGGCCAGGGTAAGCTCAAATGCTATGAAGCTTTTGCTGAAATTCAGATTTTTTTCTTGATTAAAAATTCCCGTCGAGTGACATCAGCAATATGGAGGGATAGGGAGTCCCAACGCTTATTGCTTCCATAAAAACATCAAAACCTATAAAGACACAATTATTAAGCAATGAAAATAGCTCTGGGAAAGCCCTGGACTATAATTGAGAAGCAGCTTAAAGTCAAAGGAGCTCAAAAACTGAAGATGGCCACCTAGAAAAACATAGGAAACAACCTGCAACAACCCATATCCCAGTGCAGGACCTCTTGGTGCCAGGAAGGATCTTCTTGGAGTGATTTTATCTTACAGGGTAAAGAAAAGCAAAAGAGCCCAAACAATTTTTGAATATTTGCAGCCTTTGCTACTGAGGACTCTCACAGTTTTCACCAACATTGAGTCAAGCAACAGTGCTTCCCATAGTCCCCACCATTATGTTTCATTCCTGGGGCTGGAGTTTTCTCACCGCTGTGAGACCTGCCTCTAGAGGTTCTAATTTATGTGCCCTGCTCTCAAGTTTTGGGACACCACAGAAACTTGCCATCTATGAAACTGCAGCTGCTACTTCTCTGATCCCTAGCCATGGGTTCCAGGTCTTAGCTTTGATCTGCCCTACCAGACATTGCCGCCACTGCTCTGAGGCTTGCCCCTGATATCTCAGGTCATGGCATTAATTCTCTGTTACTGAGCTGTGCTGCTGCTACTCTAAACAGTGCCCCTGAGTCCCAGGTCACTGCTTTGATCTGTCATTACCAGGGCTGCACAGCTGATGCTCTGTGGTCTCCACAGTCTGAAGCCATGGTTTAGGCCTGCCATTGGTGGGGCAGAGCTGTTGCTATTCTACATCACATCCCTTGGGTCCTGTCACTCAGCTTTAGTGGGCTATTTCTATAGACAGTCTACTGCTATTCTGTGGCTTATCCTTTGGCCAGAGTTAAAACCTTGACCCACCATCCACAGGCCATGCTGCTACTGAACCCCCTAGGCCCAGGCCACAACTTAACCCTATAATCTCAGAACCCATGCCACTTCTGTATCCTATCCCCCAGCTCATGTTTTTGGGTGGCAAGATCCAGAGACCCAGTTCTACATATCTGCACATTGCCTCACCAAAGGTACCAACACCACTGCCACAAAAAGTATACCTTTGCCCCAAGATCCAGGAACTGTTACAGTTCCACTTGCCCCTGATCTTAAGATCCTGGCTCCACTACTCCTCTGAGTACCAACATGCCAGGCCTGGCAAGAAGAGGGGTCTGCATTGGGTAGAACTTACTCCTATGGACAAAAATGAGGATTTCAGCAGCCTTTGCCTTTAAGGACACCAGTAGCCCTACTTGCCACTGCCACTGAAAAACCTCCACAGTATTAGCTGATGTTGATCTCAGCTGATGGAGCTTCACAGACACTATGCTACTGTTCCCTCTGATGATCAGAGACACTGCACCTCACCCAGCCCAGCTGGCACTTTCACAGCCACCTTCATATGAAAGTCTTTCTCCAGCAAAGCCAGTCCAAAAGGCTAGGAGAGATGACTGCTCAGTCAAATGACTATGCGTTAATGCAAAACCACCAGAAATTCAAAATCCTACAAAATGTTACACCACCAAAGTAACACAATAATTTTCTAATAACTACCACCAAAAACATGGAGATCTGTGAGTTACCTGTCAACGAATTCAAACTATGTGTTTTAAGGAAGCTCAGCAAGAATCAAATAACTCAGACACTTAAACACAGATAAGATCACTTGAAAATAATAAGCCACTTTTAACTGTATAATTTATGAATACCTAGTTGGGTGTTTGAGTAAATAGTCATGCTTGATTAAAATTAGAGTGGTTTGGAATGTTATGTCAATCATTTCTTTAGGGCTAAAGATAAGGTTTCTTTCCCAAGTTCATCTAGCATACTTCCATCACTCCCTAAATAGTATATTACTTTTATCATATTCTAGTAGCATTCTTCCCAGATGGTAGCAAACTTGGGCATATCATATGCAAGGAAGAATTAATTACTTTGTGCTGTCATTTCATAGGCAGATTTTTTAAAAACACCAGAACTGATTAACTGACTAACTTTCTAACCCTGAAAAAAAATTAAGGATGAAAAAATGGGAAAAAATCCTTTTCATTATTTTAAATTAAGGTTCTTTGTAAATATATCTGAAAGCTTTTTTTGGCTGATCTTCAAGCCAATACCATGACATCTTCCCTTTGTGTACTTGGATTTGGGAGAGGGGACTTCTCTTACCTGATGCTTTGAGTTCACTGTGTCCCTCCTAACCTCTTCAAATTTCCAGGTAATATTTCAAAAATATGAAAATGTGCTCCTTTTTCTGGGAAACATTAACAAACCTTTCTTACATTATTAAAATGGAAAGTAGGGGGGACCTTATTTTATTTCCATCTTAATCTAACAGTCCAAATACCACAGAAGAACTGTATTGCTGACATCTGTTATACTTGCACCAGTTCAGTTTTAAATATTTGCTACAGAAACAATGTTAACATAAACCCAAGATACTTAGTAACAACTATATACATTGATTTAGTGATTTGTGTCAGTAATCTGAAGGAAAGTAATTGAATAATTATCTCTCCCCACATAGCATTCTGCAGGAATCATATGAGCCAATAGTATACTTTGATAATCAGTCCATCTGGATGTGATCGCTTACTCAAGTGTCTGCAATAAGCAGGGTAAGTTTCATCTCATTGCATGTATGTGGTTTTAGAGTGGTTTCACTTAGTCTCAAATATAAATAAATGTACTTGCCCTTCTCATTTCCCCATTATACCATATACCACATGGATACATTTTAGCCTATTATTGGCTAACTCACAGTCCTGGGAAAGTTTTTCCTAACAAAAGTAATCCTAAACTTTGCAAAAAATATTGCTGAGGCTTTTGTTCCCTCATTCTTGTAGAGATTTTTAGTATCACTGTATTTTCCTCTTGACTGCTTAAACTTAAGTTTATTTCACTCTCTTTGTCTAAACAAAAAGGCTGTGTAGAGGACACTATTCTTAGCCTGGATCTTTAGATTAATAATCAGTCTTTTCCACTTTATAAGATTCTTAATTATTGTCTTTATTTTGTCAGATCAGTATTTAAAGGATGGAATAATCAGAAATAACAGCCACTTATGATTTTCTTCTTTATATTTTAAGGTGTCACCTTTATTTTTTTGTCTTATGTACAACTTGGATGCTACTAAATTTCTTACAACAGAGTAAAGGTGGATTATAATGTTTAAATATTTTTATTGAAATATATTTGACATAACATGCAAATTTAAGGTATACATGTTTATTTCATATATTTTAATATTTTAATGATTGACATTGTAGTGATGTTACTACACCTATAACATTACATACTTATCCTTTCTTTTTAGTGGTTGGAATCAATAAGTTCTACTTTCTTAAGATGTTTGATGATTACAAAAAGTACTGTCTATACTCAATATATTGTACATAAGGTCTCTAGGGCTTATTTAGTATGTGTTGCAATTTTTTACCCTTAAACAACACTTGTGTTATTCCCCATATTCTGAGAACCACCATTTTTTTTCTGGTTTTAAGTTTCTTTTTATAGATTCTACATATAAATGATGTCATACAGTACTTTTCTTTGATTTATCTTATTTGGCCTAATATGCTCAAGGTCCATTCATGTTGTCACAGATGGCACGATATTTTTTCTCATAGTTCAATAATATTCCATTGTGTGTGTGTGTATGCACACACACACACACATATTTTCTTCATTCATTCATTGGTGGGCGTTTAGGTTTTTTCACATCTCAACTATTGTGAATAATACTACAATAAACACAAGACTGCATGTACATCTTCAATGTCATGATTTCATTCCCTATGGGTATATATGCAAAAGTGCAGTTCTTGGATAATATGGTATATCTATTTTTAATTTCCTGAAGAACCTCTATATTGTTTTCCATAATGCTTGAATCAATTTACATTCCCACTAGTATATACAAGAATTATCTTTTTCCCACACTCTCAACAGCACTTATTATCTCTTGTGCTCCAAATGATAGCCATTTTAATAAGTGTGAGGTAATATCTCATTGTGGTTTGATTTTTACTTCTAACTCATTCCAACCCTAAATGAATGAAATAATTCTATCTTTACTCTCATTCTGTAAATCTACCTAATATCAATAACTACACTGCAGAACCCTGTGATCATTAGTGTACAGAATAAACACTTGTCTGTCTCTGCAGAGGACAATGATTAACTATTGAAATGGGAAAATAACTTAATTTTCACCTACCATGGGTCTCAGGAAAATCAGGCAACTCAGCTGCTAACAAAGTCAGTTAGAAGTTGGAAGAAGCAGAGGAGTAATACCATTTTATTTAGATTTTTATCTCTTGCATTATATAAATGGATGACTTTCTTACTTGACAGGCATTAATCCAAGTAATTTGACATTAGCCTTACAAAAACAAAATAGGAAAAAATACTGCTACCAATACTGGAGTGTTTCTTCAACTTTTATTCATGGAAGCCAAATATTGAAAAATGCGACTTCATGAATTAAATCTTTTTTACTTTCGATTTAGTCTTCAAACAATGAGATTGTATTTAATTTACTATAATAATGATAATGATCAACATTTATATAGTTCTTACTATGGACCAGACACTGTTCTAAGAACTTTACACATATTAACTAATTTAATCCCTGTGTTCGTATTCTTATTATCCCCTTTTTATACATGAAAGACCAAAGCACAGAAAACTTAAGGGACTTCTTTAAGATCATAGAGCAAGAAAGTAGTAGACCTGAGTAATGGATTCAGCCAGGCTTCTTCTGCAATCATAGTTTGCCAATTCTCCATTTAGCTTCCCAATTTAATACTAGCCACTTTTTAAACTGGCCATTGATAAAGCTTTAATTAGATGTAATACTTATCTTTGTTATTTTTTCTCATTATTGTATAAAGATTTTTATATGTAACAAAATTAGCAGCAATAAATTAGTAAATTGATTAGGAAATTAGAATTTTTAAGGCAAGAAACTAAAGTATTTATTATAGCCAATTTGTCCCCTACATAAAAATAAAATGATTTTCTTCTTTTTAAAATATATAGTAGATGTCTTTTATCTTTCAATGGAGGCCAGCATGGTATAACAGAAAGAACATGAAATTAAGCGAGTGGGTTGAATTCATAACTGTCCTAATTATTAACTGTTTAACCTTGAGCAAGTTAGATTACCTGAGCCTTGGATTTTACATCTATAATATTAAGAAAATAGCATGGGTCCAGAAAGCTAGCTACTTCTCAGCACATGAGCCTGAGTTGTCTCTCTCTCTCTGGCACATGGCCATTACCTCACATTGATAGCATCCTTGGAGTAATCAAGGGGCATGGCCCTGGCAGACCATTGCTCAATTAGGTTGTGCATGCTCGAATAGAAGAAGAGTAAAGAAATAGTGGATGCCACTGGAAAGTTGACAGGAGAGCTGAATAGGACTTACTTGGAGGATACACACTCAAAATTTCTTTGTCTGAAAGGACTCTAAATTGACTTCATATTTCTTCATGACCCTGACCTTCAAGATTCATGTGTGGGATGCAACTGAAGAACCAGGGGAACATGGCAAAACAGAAGAATAGTGAGCCCACCTTTTCCCATGGACACACTGAGTCAAAACTACATATAATGCAACTCACTCTGAAAACATCCTGAAGACTAGAAGAATAGACTTCCACAGTAAATAAAATAAAGAAGCCACAACAAAAAGAGTAGGATGGCAGAAGTACGATTGGAAACCAAACTCCCAGTGCAGTGACCACAGGTGGGAGGAATACCACAGGCATGAAGGTCATCCCTGAGGAACAAGGGGATAAAGCCCTGAGGACTTGCAGTGGGAAGATGAGCACCCACAGAGTCTGGCATTGAAAATAAGTGGGACTTAACTCTGGGAGCCTTGAAAATCAGTGGGAATTCACCTTGGGAAAGCTGGAGAGCCATAGGAAACCAAGACTCCACTCTTAAAAGGGCTAGTGTGCTATATCACAAAGTCTCAGACCCAATATAGTTAGAAAAATAGTTGAAAAGGCAGTAGTTTGAATAAGACCTGGGCTATACATGAAGGAAATTTATTGATTAATTTTAAGGCATGTGCTAGAGGGGCAGGGATCTGTATGCAGGAGTTTTCACTGGGAATAGGAGTGCTTGAGGGTGCCATTTTTTCTTAACTTCCTTCAGCCTAGCTGGCCAGACACTTGTGGAAACCAGCTCTAATATTCTTCATCTACCATGCTAGCACCATTCACCCTACTCAGGTGACCCCCTGGTGAACTGTACCACCCAACCCACCAGCCAAGGCATGTGCCCATCCAAAGTGGCCTGCCCTGCAATATGCATCAGATAATCTCAGTAGGTCCCAGTGTTCCCTAATAGTGACTTTAACTGTAGCACACCTCATAGACAGACACAGTTAGGATCATCACTCCTTTAAAACAATTTGGGGTAGAGTGCCAGCCCTACCCACCAATACACCTGCAGGGGATACAGCTATGCCTTCCAGTCAGTAGAGCCAGGAGCTAATTCCACCCACAGCACATACTCAACAGTTGTGCCAGGCCTCAGTCAACCAGGTCAGGAAATGGCCACACCCATATGCATGCCCATGGTAGTCTTAGCCAGATGTTCTGGAGACTGACTCCAACTATAAAGGCACATGAAGTACACACAGAAGATGCCCAAACTACCTTGTTCTAGTGACCAGGGGGATAGCACCATTGGCTTTGCAGGACACCTGAACACAAGGCAACTGTTTTCAATACATCAAAACACATCTGACCTACATAATACATAGAAATATCACATAGATTTTAAAAATGAGACTAGGAATATGTTCCAAAGAAAAGATAAAACTTTAGAAAACAACTAAAGAAAATTGTGATAACCAAAGTTTTCAAAGTAATGGTCACAAATATTCTTATCAGATTGAGAGAAGAGTGGGTGACCTCAGTAATAGTTTCAACAGAGATAAAGTAATAATGAAAAAGAACCAGTTGGAGGTGAAGAATATAATAGCTGATAAAAAAACACTATGGAGAATCAACAGCAGATTACAAGGTGCAGAAGAACATATAAGGGATCTAGAAGTCAGGGCAAAGGAAAGCACCCAAGTTGAGCATAAAGAAAAATATTTTTAAAATGATACATTAAGGGACATAGAACAACATTAAGCATGCTAACATTCAGAGATTATGGGGGTCTCAGAAGAAGACACATAAAGCAGCAGAAAATGTATTCTAAGAACTAATAGCTGAAAACTTTCCTAGCCAGGGAAAGGAAACAGACATCCAGGTCCAGGGAGCACAGAGAGCCCTACACAAGTTGAACCAAAGAAAGTCCCCATTAAGACACATAATAATTAAAATGTCAAAGATTAAGGAGAGAAACAAAAGCAGCAAGAGAAAATCAAGCAGTTACATACAAGGGAAACCCCACAAAGCTATCAGCTGATTTTTCAGCACAAACATTACAGGCCAGAAGCATGATATATTCAAAGTGTTCAAAGGAAAAATCCTACAACAGAATACCCTACCCAGAAAGATTATAAGTCAGAATTTAAGGAGAGATAAATACTCTCCCAGACAAACAAAACTTAAAGGAGTTCATCACCACTAAATTGGCTTTGCAAGAAAT